ATTTTATTCTTTGTGATTTCGTTTACTGTTTACATTCAACTCTCAAAACTCTCAAATAAAATTGTCTTAAAATCTATCTAGTTACTTAAATCTTAAACTTTTTTCTTTTTTAAATTTCGTCTATTTAAATTTTTTTTCTAAATTCTCTTCAATTTTTTTAAAATTTTTTTCCTAATTTCGTTTAAATTTCTTTCTAAATTTTTTTTTTTTTTTAAATTCCATCTAAACTATTTATTTTTTATTTATTTATTTAAATTTCTATTTTTTTTAAAAAATTTTCTTTAAATTTCTATATTCCGTTTTTTTTTTAATTTTCGCTTAAATATTTTTGCCTATATTTCGTTTACTTTATCTTTAAACTTTTAAATTTATATCCTATATTTCGTTTACTTTATCTTTAAACTTTTAAATTTATATCCTAAATTTCGTTTATATTATATTTACCTTTTCCTTATATTTTATTCCTATATTCCGTTTATTTTCTTTAATTTGCGTCGAAATTTTTTTCCTATATTTTTTCCTTTCTATATTTCGTTTACTTTTTATTTAACTTTTTATAATTATTTCTATATTTTATTTCCTTCCTATATTTCATTTACTTATTATTTAACTTTATATATTTATTTCTATATTTTATTTCCTTACTATATTTCGTTAATTTCGTCTAAATTTTTTTTCTATATTTCGTTTACTTTTTTATTTTAATCTAATTTATTTACTATATTTTATTTCCTATATTCCGTTTATTTTATTCCATTAATTTATTCCTATATTCCGTTTACCTTCGTCGCCATTAATTTATTCCTATATTCCGTTTACCTTAGTCGCCTATATTCCGTTTATTTTATTCCATTAATTCATCCCTATATTCCGTCTCCTATATTTCGTTTAATTCTTTTTTTAACATTCTTTAAATTTTTTTCCTATATTCCGTTTTTAATCTACCTATATTCCTATATTCCGTTTAACCTTTTTAATTTCGCCTTCAATATACCGTTTAATCCTTTCCTTAAACTTGATTTACATCCTCCTAAATTAAAATGGAAGAATTTCTCTTACACGAAGATCTCGACAACGTCAGAATCGCAAGTGCCTTCTATAAGAGGGTTTTATTAAATGAATGGACCGCTAATAAAAAGCAAGAAGTTGATCTGTTTATAGATACCTTAAAAAAGGTAAAAGGAAATAATATAATTAATTCCGAACGTTTGGCGAAATTCAAAAGCTGGGGTGATGGCGCAATCCTAATAAAAAATGTAAGTATAATTTCATTTTTATATTAAATTACGAAACTTTTATAATGCTTATATGGGCGAAATTTTTGATTGGAATTTGTGATTATTAAACTTAAGATATATGCGATCTTTGCCTTGAAAATCACCTTCCGACATTTCTGATCGGGTTAATTCGGACAAAAATAAACCCGAGTACTGGTTCATATTCTTATGTTAATCATCTTTTACTTTTATTGATTCAATAGTTATTCGATAAACTATTGAATCAATAAAGTTAAAAGATGATTAACATATG